GGAAGTGTCAGGGATGCCAAGAAGAGCTGAGCTGTGGCCATCAGGACTGTGGCAGCTCCGCTGTGGCAGAGCAAAGAGGTGAGCACCCAGGCTCTGCAGCAGCTCACCAGCCCTTGGCAGTAACAGTGAGGTCAGGGATGCCGGAAAGCACCAGTAAAAATCCTCTCTGGGGAGATAAGCAGTTTGGCAGGAATTGCTTCTGCAGGACATGGCAACTGTCATCAGGGCTTTGCTCATCCTCAGGGATGGTTATCCCTTTGGATTTGTGCACGAGCACCTATTGCTCCTGTGGCTGTCAGGTCATGGGTCAGATGAAGTACAGGTTTGAAATCTACGTGGTACAGGGGAAGTGAAGTGTCCCAGTGTACTCACTGGGTACCCTTGGGCACCCCGGCTGCTGGTGTTGTTGGTAGACCCTCCATGGAGAGGGTATAGGTGGCTGGGCAGTGCCTCTGACTTTGCCAGACAGACAAGAAAGGAGCACTGGTTGTTGTTCAAGGATCGGATCCCGGAGCCTGCCTATGTCAACACACTGCCTGCACTCTGCTTGGGTGTGGTGGGTTTAATCTAGGCCTTCCTTGGTTACCAGTTTGTAACCAAGGAAGAGGCAGTGTTCCCAGTATTCCATACGATTTTTACGTAAATCGGAGTATAAATAAGAAGGGAAGAGAGGCCTTCTCTCTCTTCTCTTCCAGCGGAGTACGGGAACAGTGGGTCCTTGCGTTAGTCTCGCTTATCTAAGGCTGAGGCCTGCAGCGACCGCTGGCCTGCCACGTGGAGGATAGCAGAGTGCTGGCCGTGTGTGCCAATCCTACTTCTTTCTAAGGGACGTGGTGAGATTTGTTTTACTAGTTATTTTACTAGTTCTCAAGTTTGATTACGTATATCTGCTCGGTGTCCCTTCATCTCCTTTTGTTCCTTTTCCCCTTTCCCTATCCGTTCGGGCGGTGTTTGGATTCTTTTTTTTGCTGTGTACACAGCATCTTAACTGTAATATACATCAAATATATATATTTTCTATATAACTAGTTGGATTTTCGGGTTCTTCAATTTACATAGTTTTTTTTCATTTGCTCTAGGCGAAGAGGGAAGGGGGAAGGGAGGGGGAGGCTGCTACTGGGGTTTGGGCATTTGGCGGGGAGCCAAGTTCAAACCATCACATTGGGTCACCAAGAGGGACTAGGAAAAAGGCAGTGTCAAGAAGCAAGTTTGCATTCCTCTGGACCAGAGCTCAGGCAAGATCTCCCCTTGGCATGGGTATGGGACTATTCAGTGTTGTCCTTTATTTTCCAGAGGCACCAGCAGGAGCATATGTGGATCAAGAGGCAAGGAAGGCAGGCAGCAGGTAGCACCAAGCAGTGGTTGATGTTCTTCAGAGACAGTTGGCAATGTCTCTGGGCTGCAGCACTTGTCTCCCACTGGTTTGAAGCTACAAAGAGGGCTCACAAGATAGGATTCTAGTCTGGGTCAGTGCCCGATCCCATCACAGCTCAGCTGATGGAGCAGGAGACACATCTTCTCCCTGGCTGTGGGTTCATGCTGGGGCCAAGGGGTCTGACAGGAGCTCTGGGCTGGGGTGGTCCTGGGGAACTGGAGCAGTGCTGGCAGGTGGGTGAGCGGAGAAACCCTCTGTGACAGCTAAGGGGGGTCCAACTGGCCCCAAGGGCTGAGGTTGGGTCACACAGCGAGCACAGGGAGATGCGGCAGGAGCTCCATGCCTATCTCTCAGAGGGCTGGTGGTGTGGGTGGGAGCTTCGAGGCTGTCAGAGCTGGCGCCTGCTCTTTTGCAGGTGGCGATGCCTTTTTGTATTTCTGACATAATTGCGCTGGTGTAACAACGCTGATGAGGCTTTTTTTGATAGTGCTTCCTACTTGTGCTGAAGGCTCTCCTCCCCCTCACTGCAGATGGGTTTAGGCTGCATGAATCTGAGCATGATGCTTGGGAGGAATCCCTGGAAGTGCTGCACTCTGCCTGGCAGCCCAACCCTGCCCTTGCTGGGCCACGTGGGCTCCCTGCTTCCCAGCACAAGGGCACAGAAGAGGTTTTGACAAGTCCTTGTGTCCTTGACACCCAGAGGAATGACAATATTGTTGCTCTGACACTTTCAGGTCCTGGTCCTTCTCCCTCCTTGCGGCCCCTGGCAGTCCTGCACAGCCCTGGTCCTGGTGCTGGGTGGCACTGCTATGTCCACAGGCTGAGCTGGGCCCGGGTCCTGGTCCATGGGCCTAGCTGTGCTGGAATAACCCAGCACAGAGATTTCCCCAGTGGTGCTAAATTTCCTCTCGGGATGCCTGTGACATGTTCCATCAAGACGCCTCAATGCATCCCAGCGCACATGAGGGCCAGAAACTGGGGGAAAAGGGGCTGTGAGCAAAGGCCACTCTGCTCGTGGCACCGGCCCAGCAATACAGCACTGGTCTCCTCCCATGGCGAAACCTTCCGGCACCTAGGCATGGCAGGGGAAGCTGCCCAAGTAGAGTGGGATGTGTTTCCTGCTCCCCAGTAAATGAATGGGAGGGAAATGGGGTAGTAGCAAACCCATTCCCACTGCATTACTCCTCACCTGGGCTCCTGTGGGCTGCAAAATGCAGGTCCAATCCCTCACTGCTCCCTGGAGGACTCAGCTTTGCCATGTTCTTTGAATTGCTGACAGCCATGGAGCTGCTGACAGGGGGATAGGGAAGATCTCCCCCAGCAAGTGGGGAAGAGTGCTGCTCCATTAGGCCTTTGGGAAGGCTGTGCCAGGCTAGTGATGCCAGAAAGCTGCTCACTGGTCCAGCCTGGGCTGTACATCTCAGGTCTTGCCTCTTGAGTTTTGGGGCCACTCAAGGCTGAGTGTGCACCTGAGCTGTGCATCTCCAGATGCTTCCCAGTGAGTGAGTCAGGAGAGGATGGGATGTCTGATGAGTCAGAACTTCTGCAGGCTTCTCTTCAGACCCACTCTGGGCAGCTGTGACATCCAGGGCCCAGGAAGCAGGACAGGCATCAGGGCAGCTGAGACATCTGGAGGGAGGTGGCAAAAGGATGATAGGAGGTATGTCAGACCTCCCCAGCTCATCCTTTTGTAGCCATTCCTCATCCTTCACTTCCCCACTCTACCACCAGCTCCTGGGATGCACAGGCTAGGCCCCCACACTGACACTGCAGCCCTGTCCCCACATGGAAAGCTCCCATGGGGATGTGACAACCTGGTCAGATCAGTGACATGCCATCTGCTGCACATCACATCTATCTCATGGGATGTGCCCCAGCAGAGCCTTGCCAAGGAGGCAAGCGACTGGACTGGGAAGTGCTACGAAAATTGTTAAAGATGACAGAATATGGCCAAAGGTTTAACTGCTGCAAAGTTCAAATGCTCAGGTTAGAATCACAGTATCGTAGAATCTTCTGAGTGGGTGTGATGGTTCGGACCTGTCTCCCTGCCAAACGCCCGAACTCACAGCAGCAGCCCCCCGCCTTCCCTCAGGGCAAAGAAAAAAAAACTATGCCAATTGAAGAACCCAAAATCAAACTATATATTTTATGTATATTACAGTTATAATGGCCAGTCTTAGAGAGCGAAAATCCGGGGAAGGTCTCTACACCTTCCAGCCTGCGCATTGGATTTTTTAGGTGAGACACAGCGTGCGCGGAACTGAGCCCACCCTTTAATCCTAAGGTTCATCTGCAGTGGCCAAGCCAGCTTAGATGGTGGCAGCGAGGTCCTCAGGACGTAGATGGATTGCCTTTCAGGGCTAACGAGCTCCATCTGCCTGGATTACAGTTATATACAATTAAAATACTACGTACTGGAGCCCCTGGTGGTCTAGTGGTAAAGGCGCGGCGCTGTCACCGCCGAGACCCGGGTTCGATTCCCAGTCAGGGCCACTCCTGGGCAGGTGGGGCTCGTTAGCCCTTAAAGGCAACCCACCTACGTCCTAAGAACCTCACTGCCACCGTCCAAGCTCGCTTGGCCCCGGCAGATGAACCTTAGGATTAAAGGGTGGGCTCAGTTCCACGCACACTGTGTCTCACCTAAAAAATCCAATGCGCAGGCTGGAAGGTGTAAAGACCTTCCCCGGATCTTCACTCGTGAAGACTGGCCTTTACTACGTACACAGTGACGGGAATTCAAACACCCCCCTCCCCCCGCAACGGGAAAGGGAAAGGGGAAAAAGGGACAAAAAAAGGGACACTGAACAGATATACACAATCAAACTCAAGAACTATACTAATAACTAGCAAAACAGATCTCAGCACGTCCCTTAGCAAAGCAGGATTGGCAGACACGGCCAACACTCTCCAAACCTCCACGTGGCAGGCCAGTGGACGCTGCAGCCTCAGACTTAGATAAGCGAGACCAACGCAAGGGCCCACTGCCCTGAACCTCACTGGAAGAGAAGAGAGTAAAGGCCTCTCCTCCCTTCTTATTTATACCCCGATTTACGTAAAAATCGTATGGAATACTGGGTACATGGCCACTTCCTTGATTACAAACTGGTCACCAAGGAAGGCCTAGATTTTCCACAGTGGGAAAGGACCCACAAGGATCATTGAGTACAACTCCCGGCCCTGCACAGGACATCTCAACAATCCCAACATGTGCCTGAGAGTGTTGTTCCTTATTTCATGAGGAAATACAGAGTTTGGGTGGAGTAAAGCACTAAATACTGGAGGATCCACTTAGCACTGAGCAAATGACAAAACACTGACATTTTAACCCTAGAAGAAACAGGAAGCTAATCCCAGATTGAAATGAAATCATTAAATGGGATGCTGAGTCAGAATTCAGGTTATGGCACCTCCATGTTACTCTGGTGCTGTAGGACTCTGCTTACAGGAGTAAGCTGTTCTCTCTGCTCTTCTCATGAGTCCTGCACCCATGTGGTACTCTCCTTCCTGCTTTCATCCAGGTTTTACCAGCTTCCTCTTGATTCCTGGTGGTTCCTCTCCCATTGGTACCTGAAATCCTCACTGGAGCTCCTGGGGTTAATATAGAAATAACAAATGCATCATTCGCTTGTGATTTCTGTGGGTTTACTGTTTAAGTATTTATTCTATGTAGTGTCTCTTAGTTTGGGTTGCACTTAGCAGCCTTGGTGATAAGATAAAAAAATCTATATGTGGGAATTTTCTAAGTTTAGAGAAACCCAAACACTACGAGACATGAAAGACAGGCTGAGAGAAGCACGGGGTGGCTTGGCTGGAGGCCTCCATGCTTGGTTCCTGTTCTGCTTTCTTTCTTTACCATGCTCCAGCATCTCTGTCCTCACTGCCTCTTCTCTTGGTCCTGCCTCAGGTTCCCATTCATCCCCTTCCTTCCTGGTTTTCTGGTTTTCCAATTACCGGTTTTGGCCTGAGCTGACAGCTTAGGGAAGAAAAGAAAAGGTAAATATTAGCCTTGTTTTTGAATCAAAACATGGTTTTCTAAAGTTCTGAAGGGAAACAAAAGGCAATTTACTTAGAAGTCTAGATCCTTCCTCCTCACTGCAATACCCCTTGGAAGTGCTGGCTCTCAGTGTCCTCCATAGACACTGAGTTCCCCCTGCCCACCACTGGCTCCTGCTTCCTCTGCTTCCCCCAGCAAATCCCTGGCCCTGGGAGCCTCAGCTGCAGGAGCAGAGCTCAGCACCCACTGCACTGCGAGACCCAGGACCTGCAGCCACCAGCCCTTTCTGGACCACAGTGGTTGGGAACTGCAGGTATCCAGAAATCCCAGCATCCCAAGGGCCTTCTGTTTCTCACTCTGTGTGTCCCATTCCCTCCCCTCGGCCCCTCCCTAGATCCAAGCACTGGATCGCCTCTCCGTGGTTCCTCCTGTGGAAGGAGGAACCACCTCCTCCTCACCATCACTTTCTCTTCTTAGCTTGGTTCCTGAAGCATCAACTTGGAAGCTCAGTGGTACATCAGTAGTGGACACTGTTTTTAAGGAATCAAGTCACACAGGCCATGGCACATGAGGGTAGAAACATGCAGGAGTCTTTTGTGAAGTCTACTGAAAGATGGGATAAATACCTCCTGGATCTGAGAAGCCAGAAAAGTTCTGCAAGGTGTGGTTGCTCTGACATGCACAAGAACTTGTTTAATATGGCCTGACCTGTACGGAAGAGCAGGAAAGGTTTTTCTGCTGTGTCTTCGATGCCTTGGATGGACTTTCCACCCTCAGCACCAAGCTGAGGCTGGAGAAAGACAGTAATTTGGGCAGTGGGACATCTCCATGGGAGTAAGGAAAGCCACACGCTGTGGGGAAACTCCAGAGGTCTGTAACCCAGCAGTGCTGAAGGTGAGAGGGGAAAGGACTGAAGAGGGGACATCCAAGGAAGCTCCAGGCAGTGTCCCATTGCCCCTGCACTGTGTAATGGGAGCTGCAGGCTGTGCCAGTTTCAGCAGAGATTTGGTGGTACCCAGTCTGGATCACCAGCCCCACACACAGAGCAGGTGACACTATGAGGCACCTCATTAACATTTCATTAAGGCATATCCAACTCCTGTGAGGTATTGCTAATGGGCAGAGACAGAGGTGGGGGTGCACCAGCAGCCACCACACAGGAGTCCAGCCCTGAACACCTCCAGCTCTCCCAGCCTGTCTCCATAGCAGAGGTGTTTCAGCCCCCAGGGCATCTCTGTGGTCCTTCCTCCTCTTTTTGCAATCCCAGGAGCCTGCCTGGAGCCTGTCCAGCCATCCCTCATCCGCAAAAGCGTGCCACTATTGGAGCAAGGTAGAGCGGTGCAGATGGCATGAGGAAAACAGCAACACACGCAATCTGGCCAGGGAAAGCTGATAGGAAGCAAAGTCCTTGGGAGAGCTGAGCAGAGCAGCAGGTGCAGGTCCCTGCACCAGCCATGTTGGGGGATGAGAGAGAACGGCCTCCAGCTTGGAAATGCCCCAGGGCACACTTATGACATTTGTTCTTGGATCCCCAGCCTCTCCAAAGTCTGGCTGTGTGAAGCTTGTTGTGTTACAGCCAAAAAACTTCCTGTAGCATCTACAGACTATAAAAATGAGGCAGTAATGGGAGACTGGGAGCCCCCGACTTGGTGTGTGGCATAGCCAAGTCACTTCCCCCATCTGTGCATTGGTGTGTCCACCAGTAAAACAACAGGAGACACAATTCTGCCTTGCTTTCAAATGTATGGAAAACACCATCTCTGAGTTGTGCAAACACTGCATGTTCACAGGCCATATCCTATAGGGAGAAACACAGGAGCCTTTCTCCTCTCAGGATTGTTTCCCAAAGCAGATGCTGAGCGTGTCTGGGGAAGCAGCCTGGGCAGTGGTCACACTCCCAGCTGGAATAATGGGAACAGAGCAGTGCAGCACCCTCATCAAAAAGCTGAAGTCTACTAAGAGAAGGCTAAAAAACTTGGCAGGAAATTACAGGCATTACAGGAACAGACATGCCATTTGGAATATGGTCACATTTGAGCAGCTATCAAAGCTATCAGAAAACAGGGGAGAGTTCAATGTAAGATGTGAATGAGAGTCCAGAGGGAGAGAAAAAACAGAGGGAAATGGGAGAGATTCTGAGTGCCAGATGTCGGCTGTCAGAGTGGGTTCTCGTGCAATGGGATGTCCAAATGGAGACTGTAAAAGAGGTAGGAAGGTCCAAATTGCAGCCAGGAGGTGCCAGGCTGAGGGCTGGCTGTACCCATTTGTGTGGTACAACCAGCCCTCGGCACTTGGTCACATTTTTAGTGATACTTGTTAATTTTTTTCCCATTAATCCTTGTCTCATTCCATGGACAGGGAGGACTCCCCCAGTGAGAAACCAAGGAGAGGGAGCTGCCTTTTGTCTGAAGGAGCAGCAGGAACGCATGGAGCTCTGCCCTGGGATGGATATTGAGCCAGTCAGGAGTATCCTGGTTGGAAGGCAAATTGATATGGGTGATGTACTCCTGAATGTCCACTATAGACTTCCGTATCAGGAAGCAGAAGATGAAGTTTTCTACCTGGAAGTAGGCTCCTGTTTGCAGAGCATGGTTCTCATGGAGGACCTTAACTCCCATGATACTATCTGGAGGGACAGCACAAGAGGACACAGGCAATCTGGGAGGTTTCTGGAACACTCTGTCAAGAATTTCCTAATGTAGGTGTCAAAGAGCCAAAGAGGGAAGACACTGATAGACCTGTAAACATGTTGAGGAATGTGAAAGATGAGGGCAACCTTGGCTGAAAAGAATGTGGCATGGTGGAGGTTAGAGTCCTGAGGGAAGGGAGCAGAGAAAAAGACAAGGTCACAAACCTGGACTCAGGAGAGCAGACTTTGGCCTCTTGAGGGATCTGCTTGGAAGAGTCCACAGGATGCAGTCCTAGCTCTCTAGGTGTCCAGGAAACATAATTCAGGATCAGCTACTCCACTCCCCTCTGACAAACAGGTGTAATGCTGGGGCCTGTAGAACTGGCCCTGAGCCAAAGCTGACCTATAAGATGAACTCTCCAACCTAATATTTAGCCTAGTATTGTGTTTAACCATATATCTGTTTATTAACCAAGATGCTATATAATCCTTAGTAATGCCTTAAGAATATACATTTATGCTTGTTAGCACAGCATGTTATCAATAATTAGTAAGGCCTGTATGTGTTATAAGTATGACTTTTCTTTGCAGACAAGGTCGCAAAAAATGGTAGAGCCTCACGTAGTTGTAGCTGGTTCATATTTGAGATATCAGTGTAGCAGTAAGTTCTGTATTTAGTGACTAGTCAAGGCCATAGGGCATTTGATAGTAGATGGCCCAAATCGACTCTCTCGGTCTCCCTCTGGGCCCTGGCCCAGCTTAAGGGAATACCATTAGAGGAAGAAAGCCAAGTTGATTTCCCACACCAGCTGGTTTGTTTAACACTATATAAGCTGGACCTTCTCACAGCAAAGATAGAGGCTTCAGCTGCGAGTGGACACATTGCACAGGATTTCCCAGTTACTGGGAAGAGGTTCTCTGTGACCTTTGCTGTGACTGGGGCCTTTCCAGCTGAAGTGTGGTCTGGATGATAACAATTACTTAGTATAACTGGTGGTGTTGAACACTTCCAGGGTTGATGATTCCCTGGGCAGCCTCTTCCAATGCCTGACCACTGTTTCTGTGGTGAATTTTTTCCTACTGAAGACAGCTCCAGCATTGCTTTCTAACCTCAGCAACTCTGTGGATCTTTGTTTGGTCAAGTAATTTATCTAACATCACCAGACATGTAAAGAAAGGGCTGTGGATCCTCTGTGATACAGAAAGAGACCCCACTCCTCTGGTGGTCTTCCAACCCCTTCAGCTCTGCAGATACATAGCTGTGGTGTGCAGGATCCCAACTCCAGCCTCCCCTGGAGAGATGGACATGTGTCCTGTTACCAGCACAGACCCTGGTCCTGCCGTGCTGTGAACACAGGCAGCAGGTTCTGTCATTCCAGCTGGGACACTCCTGCCACACCAGAGCCTCCCTGTGACACGGCTCCAGCTCCCTCCCCTCATGCATGCAGTGGCAGGCTCATTGCAAGGTTTTAGGCTGCTGCCCACTGAGAAACTCAGGAATTGTTTTCTTTTTCTCTTCCTGCTTCAAGGCCCATTTTTCAGGACTGGAAATATCCACAAAACACCCCAGTAAGGTTCAAGAGGTATGGAGGGAGCCCAGCTCAGATATATCATGTCAGTAACTTGTATTAAATTAAACCAGAGAAAGTGTCGATCTGAATCATGAGCACAGCTGGAGGTGTGGAAGGGAGAGGAATGTTCTCAGAAAGGCAGGTCACCTGAGAAATAAGGGCAAGTGCCAGCAAGGAGGAAAAGGGGCTCTTATGCTACGGAAGTGCAGGGACTGCTTGGCTGGAGCAGAAGTCGGTCCTGGGCAACTGCTCTGGGCTTCAGGGAGAGGGTCAGAAGTGACCTTGGCCCTCATCAGGGAGGTGGTCTAATGCTGTATTGACACAGCAAAGACACCGTGGATGGAAGAGAACAAAAACCACAGAGTCAGTCCTGGCCAGATGTGCCAGAGCTCCAAGTTGGGAGGAGAGGAAATGTAGAGATAACTAAGGCCTATAGAAGAACATCCAAAAATCCAGATCCATCTTAAGTGAGGGCAAAGAGGGTTAACTGTGGTCATTAAGAGGAATACTCATGAGAAAACCAGGGAACTTTGGCCTGTTTTGATCTCATTTCTGCTCATATCAGAGTTTAAATCATCAAGCGTGAATGGGATCTGCTTCCCCGCCATCCCTGGGCACAACAGCCTTGTACCAAGGTGAGAGGCAGAGAGAGTTGGGTTACATAAGGGGAAACTGAGGTATGGCAAGGGACTGGTATGAACATGGATCATTCTCCACCTCCTGTGAACAAGACTGTTCACGAGGTCATGGTCTTCAGCAGTTGGTAGAAGCAGCTCCCTTACACTTGCTTCTCCTTCTCTCTCAAAATAAAGAGGATGACAGGGGGACTGGACCAGCCCAGTGCTGTCTCCTCCCACATCTCTGGGATTATTTATAATGGTCCTTCCCTGCAGATCTCTGCACTCTGCCAAGATCCCTCCTGCATAGTCAAGGGCCACCGTGCTGTAGCTTCTCCCAGCTTACAGCAGGGGAGATCCCACACTGATGTTGTCTTGGGCACGATGGTTGGGAGACATGAATAAAAACAGTATTCAGCTGTGACACCAGAGAGCAAGGAACCAGAACATTCAACCATAGTATTCACAACCTTATAGAGTTTACCGGACTGCTGCTTTTCCCCTTGGCTTGCTTCAAAGGCATGGCCTCGGGGCTGCACCACCGAGCATGTGTGCAAGTAGGCCCACAGTCCCAGCTTCATGCCAGGAGGATCATGCCCTCCTCTCACCCAGGTGTACTCATTTGGGCTGGCTTTCAGGGCTCCCCAGTTGTGACATGATGGGAAAATATTCACAGCAACACCCAGGGCCAGCAGCCTCCCATGTGTTACCCCAGACACAGCGCAGCAAACCCAGGTTGGGGTATGGGTGCTGTACCCCAGGTGACCTCCCAGTCCCAGGTGGCTTTCAGTGACATTCTGAGAAGAGGCAGCCAGCTGGGGTGGTTCAGCCAAGAGCACCCCAGTAACTGCCACTCATCAAGGCTGGTAGGGCAGAAGGTGAGGGTTATCTCCCGGCACCCTGAGGAGAGAACTTTTATGCTCACCTGAGCTTACCTGGCCAAACCATCCACTTTTCAGTCAGACGACATGGCTCATAGTGCTTCCAGCTTTGGAGGGTTCCCAAGTCAGAGTCCAGGCTCTCAAAAACAGGAGTTCTTTTGAGCTGAGAAGTCTTGGGACTTTTAAAATTCATCTTCTCATTTCTAAGACAGCAATTTTCAATCACATCAGAAGTTCAAGAGCACAAGCACAGCAGTGGCTTCTCCTAAGGAAAAACCCTCAAGGTGAAGTTGTGTTCTCTGTTCCTGGGGAAAAATAACAAATATCATCAGCTGGAGATGTGGCTTTTGCTCCTCCTCATCTGGAGTTTAATCTGCATTCACAACCAAGGTCACCTCACCCAGCCCTGGGCTTGAGAGGTGACATGATGACAACCCCCTCTCTCCTCTGCAAGGCCAACAGGAGCTGAGCTGGTGCCACCAAGGTTCCTGCTCAGCTGCACTCCAAGAGCTGACCAAAGCAGTCCAGCAGGTCAAGTTGGAAGACTAACTCCCTCTGTCCATATCCCATAAATCTAAATAAGTGATCACAGTTTGTTTGCCAATTTCCTACACTATGGATGATTATGAATCATTCACCAGTTCAAGTGTAGGTTTTGATGTGCAAGAGGAGCATATGCTGTGCACAGGAACAGCTCCAATGTCAAAGTCAACAACCAACAGCATAGAATTGATGGCTTTTGCATCCTTGGGGCTCTCAAGCTCAGGAGGAAACATTGAAGGAAACCTCCCACCCCCCCATATAAAGTCTGCACAATTCAAGGTGCATCAAGAACAATAATCCACATGCAAGGAAACTATTATCCTAACCCCAGGTGAGGAAGTGGCCACCAAGGGATGGCCATGCTGTAGGGTAAAGCCAGTGGTCCCACACAGGGGGAAATGACCTTGGGGAACAGGTTGGCAATGCTCAGAGGCCATTTGAGCTCTGCAGAGCAGCTGAGGGATGCATGTGCCGTCCCCTCTGCCTGGAGCAGGTGATGAAGAGGAAAGAAGAACCATCTGGTTTGCCTTCTTTTGTTGAATTATCTCCTAAATCAGAAGCTAAGTAAAAGAGAAGACTGGGATTTTCATTTTACAGTGAAATAAGGTACATTTTGCAAGTTGTGCAAAATCAAACTGACAGGAACTGCTCATTGAGAGTGTCAGATTAGTGAGGTGTTGTGCATTAAAGTGTTTCTAAGTATGAATTGCTCTGAAGAGCTCAGTGTTGCTCTAACTCTATCTGCTTTCCCCGGCAGCTGGGTTGTCATTTGCAGCTGTGTTTGTGCTTGTCCCCTGGTGACTGATTCCTATGCTGCTCATGGCTCCAGAGGAAACCTAAAGATGGATGTAGATTTTCCCCATCAGGTAACATGGGGTGCCCAGAGCTTCCTCTGCAGCACCTGGTGATGAGCAGTGGCCATCATGTCACTGGCCTCTCCAGACCAGGAACCAAATTTGTGCTGGGACTCTGATGAGCTCCATTAGTGCTTCTTTCCCAGCAGAACCCACAGCAGTTTGCTCCCATGGGGTGAGCATCCTGGTGAGTAGCTGGCAGCTTCTTCCTCCCCTCCTCAAGGGGTGCTGTTACCCACTCACTGCTCCGGGCATAGGGGAGCTGGTGTTCCCATCGGAGAGGAGCAGGGTTAGAACAAGGCTCCATTTTCCTGTTCCCAGGCGGCTCTCCAGAGCCTTTCTGTGCCACCTACCTGGGTGTCTGGCAAGCAATTTACACCACAGTTGCATGATCATGCAGCACAGCCTTGCACCACAGCCTTGCTGGATCTGTGCAGGGAAACACTAGGGCACTCCACAGCCTGCCTTCCTTCCCAGAGGGGTGTGCAGGGACACAGGATTTGCTCTGTGCTCCAGACTCATCACCCCAGCAGGGCTCATCCCCAGGCAGTGCTTCCAGCTCTGGGCAGTTGCAGATTCAGAGCTCTCCAGCACCTGGAAGGCACCTGATGAGAGCTCGTGCAGAGAGGAAACTGAGGCAGGAGTGAAGTGACTTGGCCAAGGGGTTCCTTGAGCCTCATATCAGTGTTCAGAAAATGTGTGATGTGGCACCTGGGGACATGGGCTAGTGGTGGGCTTAGCAGTGCTGGGTAATCGTTGGACTAGATCTTAGAGGGTTTTTCCAACTTTAATGATTCCATGATTTTATGGGTTTTTTCTTCGTTTCTGGCCCAGCTCCACCAAAACACAATGCCTGGCACTCAGCATTAGCCACACTCACTGCATTAGAGCTAGCAGCATGGGGGGCACCACTCTGCCCACATAGGCATGGCCTCAGCACTGTCCTTCCTGACAGATGAGGGAAAGGAATCCCTGGGAGCCCTGGAAGAGAGAAGGGAGAAAATATGGAAGAGAGAGAATATGATAAGCAAATCCTGGTCATTAAAATGTGAAGTTTGCTTCAGTTTCCTTCTCTCTCAATCTGGAGGGATGAGCACCAGCCAGATAAGAGACCTGTCAAGACACTTCCAGCAGCCCTGCCTAGCCTGGCCTCCAGCTGACTTCCAGCCAGGATGATTTCTGAGAGACTGGCATCTCCCTGCAGCACGCTCTGAAAATATAACAAAAAAGGAGGGTCAGGGAGGAAGCTGCTCTGGAAGATTTTCTTACACAAAGAATGGCTCTCCATCGGCGACACTGCTGGGCCCTGACAACCATGTCCCCATCTCACCCGGGAGCACTGCCAGCACAGCAACATTTCCACAGATCCTCACAGCCTGCCAGGCTTCCGGCACGCTCAGAGCATGGCCCAGTGGGGTCCCTGCCCCAGCATCCCCCCAGGACACGTGCCACAGGGCAGGATGATTTTGGGCAGCCATGGTCTCCCCGGGGTGCAGATGTGGAGATGAAGCAAAAGGCAACCTTGAGCCCTAGGAATGTGCTGTTTGGGCTCTCGGAACACCATGGTTTTTTCTCAGCTAGTACAGGGGCTCTTTTCCCAGGGATGCTGCTCTTGGCTCCCAGGGCTGTCAACAGCCTTTCCAGCCTGCCTCTGCCATGGCACGGGAGGAATTATTTTGGGTTAAAGCCAAGATCTTCACCAAGCTCCAATACCACAGAATCAAAGAATCCCAGAATGGTTCAGGTTGGAAAGGACCTTGAAGCTCATCTTCTTCCTCGCCCTGCCATGGTTAGGGACCCCGTCCACTAGAGCAGATTGCTCCCATCCAACCTGGCCTTGAACACTTCCAGGGATGGGGCAGCCATAGCTTCTCTGGGCAACCTGTGCCAAAGCCTCACCACCCTCACAGGGACTAATTTCTTCCCGATATCCAATTTAACTCTGCCCTCTGTCAGTGGGAAGCCTTTTCCCCTTGTCCTATCAAGGAGCTCCAGCATGAATCAGGAGCACTGAAGGGCTGCAAGGACCACTGTAGGATGGCAGCACTGTCACCCCTCTGGATCACAGACACTCACCATAGTGGGAAAACCTCTGGGCAGGGCTGGGGCTGGGAGTCCCACAGGGATCAGGGTGATCAGCCACAGTGGTGGCAAGGACAGCCCCAGGTGTACAGGGGCAGACAGGAGATGTAGGTGATGCCCCTACTCAGCCCAGCTCTGCTACTGCTTCTCTGGAACCCCAGCTGGTGCTGTCCCAGCACAACAGCACCATACTGGGAGGCCATGTACACCTGTAGGTGCCATGTCCCCATGCACAGGGCACAGAGGGCTGCTGGGGCTTTTCTGTGTAAGCTAAATTTGTCAGGATAGGAGGCCAAAGACTCCTTTTCTGTTTCTCTACCTTGCAGCTGCTGATATGAAGAGCAGCAGCATCACTGTGACAGTGGATGGTGTGCAGAGCTCTGCTGGGAAGGGGAAGAGGCAGCTCAGTTGCGCCAGGGCAGGTGGGAGGGAGGAGGACACTGAGAACCATGAGCATGGACAGAAGTGTGAAGGTCTAAGGATGGGGGGAAGAGGTTGATGCCAGCTCCATCCATGGCTGTGCCCCTCCTGCCCTCCCTCCCTCCAGCTGCACCATGAGGATAACACCCAGGCTGGGAGTTCTTGCCAAGACCAAAGCAAGGTCGGCAATCCTTGCTCTCAGCTGTGGAGCCATCCAAATACTCACTGGTAAATGAATGTTAGTCCAACTGTTCAGAGCCTCTGAGCCCCTTTTGGGCTGTCTCTGCCCACTTTCAGTGCTGAAGGCTTCCAGGAGCAAAGGCAGCCTTGTGCATGCTGTGGCCTATGTTCAGCCTGATCTTTCCTTTCTCCTCTCCTTTCTTTCAGCATTCATCCCTCCTAGTGTCCTGCAGCCCTACACAGCTGTACAAGGCTTCCAGTACAGACAATATTCATACAAACCACATCTGGCCCCCTCGGACCAGCCTGTGTATGGCACTAGGGGCAGTCTCTGGGCTTCTCCAGCAGCTTCCAGAGATTTTCTGGGATTTCACTGACCTGCCCCTTGGCTGTAAATGAAGGCAAGACTCATTTTCCCTGTTTTACAGGGAAGGAGCCATAGGGTTATGTTTTAAGTAAGGCCTGAGATCATGGGTGCCTTTTGTTCTGGGTCCCCAAACTGCAACTGGCTGAAGTCTCCCTCTCTGCCTCTTCTTCAGTGTCAGACAAACCTGGCACACACCAGCTGCAATTGTACCTGGCCAAAGCAAAGCAGTGACCACAGCCACTCAGATCTGTCATCAAGAGCCCATCCCCACAGGGACTGGGCCCTCTGAGGTCCATGCTAAATGCTGAGAGCTAAGGAGAAAGTTCAGGCAGGAAGAAGATCAATAAATTGTCATTTTAAAAGGAGGTCTCAGTAGGAGGAGCTGCCTCAGCAGACAGGAGAGGGTGGTTGGCCACATCATTTGGACCCTGCACAAAAAGGAGGACATTGAGCACATCTAGAGAAGAGAACAGAGTTGGAGAAGGATCTGGAGCACAAGTCTGATGAAGAGCAGCTGAGGGAGCTGGGGGTCTCAGCCTGGAGAAAAGGAGGCTCAGGGAGTTTGGTGGGTGTTGGGCTCTTCTCCCTGGTAACAAGTGACAAGATGAGAGGAAACGGCCTCAGGTTGTACCAGAAGAGGTTTAGGTTGAGGATTAGGGAAAATTTCTTCATGGAACAGGTGGTAAGGTGCTGACACAGGGCAGTGGTAGAATTACCATTCTGGGACAGAGGGGTAAATACTCTTTCCCTGGAAGATTTTACTACAAGGAATCAGTTATTTTGCCTAGGAAAAGCTTTCCTGACACTTTCTCAAGTCAGTTGCTGTTCTCTCCCCCCCATTCCAGAGAGATTCTTTCTCTGATATGTGAGGAGAGAGTTAACATTCATAGACATGTTACAGGGGCACCATGGCCCCGAGAGAGCCGGGGAGCCAGCAGTAAGAAAGCCTGAGGAAGGAACAGGAGGTGTGCCTTCTCAGGCCCAGCACTGTTTGCAGCTGGTTCAGCTTACCTTTGTAAGTTTTTTAGTGTTCTCGAGTTCAGAATAAACCTTTTTGGATTCTTTACACTGTGTTGGCATTTTGGGGGGTACCTGTGTGTATCTTACCAAACACTGGAAGTGTTCACAAACCACGTGGATGTGGCACTTAGGGACCAGGTTTAGTGGTGGCCTTGGCAGTGCCAGGTTAATGGTTTAACTTGATGATATTGGAGGGCTTTTCTAACCTCAGTGATTCCATGATTTACTCAGGACTTGGTGCTTTAGGTGAGGTACTCCCAGAGTTTCAAAAGCCTCTTTGTGCTGGTAGATAGATGTTAACCAGTCTCCAAGGAGCAGCACAGATCACCTTCCCTTCCCTTTTTTGTTCTGGGCTCTTGTCAAGATGAGCTGGGATTGTGATACTGAAACACAGTTCTTATGTCCAAGTTCATCTGTCCCTCTCAAAGGAGAATGGAAGCAGCTAATGAAAGATTTAATTGCCATGTCTAGAGGGAGAGCAGGATTTACCTCTTTCCAAAGTCCCCAGGCAGCATCAAGAGTGTGGAGGGAGCTTGGGCTCCCTTTGATATGGTAATTTCACTGCATAGAAGAGATGCAAACACAGTCAAAGGGGCTGAGAAAAATCAGACAGGCACAGGAAGGGTTGGAAAACCAGTGTCATACCTGGTTTTATATTAGGTACTTATACCTTATACCTGGTTTTATATTAGGTACTTATACCTCCCCTATAGGGAGGTATAAGTAACTAATAGGAAAGGGAGGCATAAGTAACTAATAGGAAAACTCCTGTAGTGTATGGATGCTCTTCCTGAGAGGCAAGGACATGCCCCAGCACCCAGCACTGTTTCTTCAGCCCTCACTGCCACTGTCCCCACCCTTGGAAATGTTGGACATCGGAGAGGACAGTGATGGACATCTGCCACAAGGTCTGTGAGCTGTAGAGAATCTGCCAGGAGCCTTGTGGAAATGCCCAAAGGAAGCAGACTGTTGCATGGACATGGACCTTATGTCATCACTGCTGGATAAACACGACATCCAACCTGTGCACAGGGACCCAGTGATCAGTCTCTGAAGTGTGGCAGCAACCTGCAGCCACTGGAAACCACACCAGGAGAAGTCCAGAGATTTCCCACCTGAAGCCAGAGGAGAGAGGGAAGCAAGATGAGCATTTTCCAGAAAATTCTGGAAATTAATTTTGAAATTCTTCCTAAGACATACCAGTAAAAGGAAAAAAAAGGCCCTTTTTATATTTTCACCCCCCCAAAAAAATTTGAAACTGTATATTCTAAAAAACTTGGTAGCCTTTCTTCTGATGTTTTAAAATGTTACATTATTGCACAATATGCACAATATGCACAACAGAAAATATGTTCTTGGAATAAAAAGGTGCTTGAAAGGAAGGCAGCTGTGCTGTGCTCCATGCAGATGTGCTGTGCAGATGTGGGCAAGTAGAGGAGGTGACTGCCCCAGTGGGGTGGCACTGTGTGCTGCTGCCTCAGAGGTGCTGCTTGGCACCTGCCAGTGGGTCCTTGCCCTTAAGGCAGGGGCATATTCAACCACTAGTGGTGGATGACATCATATCACTTCTCTGGCCATTCCTTCATTTTCCTAAAATTACTGTTCTTCCCAAACCAATCATTTCTTTGCACAGCACATGGGGGGCCTTTCGGTCTTATTGCAATACGAAAAACACCAGGAAAAAGGGTCTCCAGTTCATGGTGGAAATGATGAGAGGAGCTGGGAGGGCAGCTTGGGGTAGAGGGGCAACAGAGCTTGAGGTCACTTGGCAGCAGCAGCAGCAGCAGCAGCAGCAGCAGCAGCAGTGGCAGCAGTGAAAGTCACAGCACCGGTGGCAGCAGCAGCAGTGGCAGCAGTAGCAGCAGTGACAGTCACAACAGCAGCAGCAGTGGCAGCAGCAGTGGCAGTGACAGCAGTGACAGTCACAGGAGGCCAGGCATGAGCTGCAGCAGCAGGGGCTGAATGCCTGGACACATGTTTGGAGCTGTCACATACACATGTAATAAAAGCCAGTGAGGTGGATGTTCCAGTCTGTAACCCTCGTGTGTACTGTCCAAACCCTGTGTTTCCAGCTTGTTTGCCTTTGGAGAGCTGCTCAATAGCACTGCTTCCCTCTGGCTGAGGAATCACAGGCATCCCGCCCACGCCACACAAAGCCTGGCATTTCCAATCACATCATCTTCCTTCTCATTTTTAACAGGAAAAGAGCAAAACCAATGCCAAACCACCTCAACATGACATCATTAGCCAGATACGGTTTATCCACAGCTCCTGGAGCTGATTAAAAGTTGCTATGGCCCACAAACACCCCACCTGAATTGCTACTGCTGCATGTCTGGGTCAAAGCTGTCATATGCAGCTGCCACAGCTGATGGTCAGCAAAACAGCTCTGGAAAAGACAGGGTCACTATAATTTCTGCCATGTTTTTGCACAAATAAAGAAGCAACTCTGATTTTTTGTGAGCTCCAGCTAGGCCCTGCTGCATCTGTCAGAGGCTGCTCTGCTGGGGCTGGGGAGGGCAGAGTTTTGGGGGGCTCCCATATGAAGGGGAGCAGTACAGAGGAGTGAGCGGATGGGCAGATGTTCCCATGAGAAGATGCTGGGTGTGAGGAATCAGCTGCCCTGGTACACTGATATTAGGAATAAATAGGTGTTCTTCCAAAGTTTGTAGTGTGGTTGCATTTGGTGGTGGGAAGTGACAAGTTAATGGTTGTTCAGTTATCAGTTACAGAGAGGTGCAGTTTGCCCAGGAACAAGGGTTTCTATCAGCAGCAAAGAATCAGTAACCTCTATTTTGAAAATGCTGGGGACCCTTCCTCTAATGACCATGGAATAGGGGACACATTGTAGAAGTGTCGGGAAGGTTGTAACTCCTGAGTATCTCATCAACGGGGAAACGGGGAGAGACCTGCATTTGGGGCAGAGGGGATAAAAGAGGCTGCAACCTCGATCAAGTTGAGACACCTCACTGGGGATTGTCTAGTGAACTCTCCCTTTTATTCGAATAAAAGTTTTAGTTAACTCCTCTGTCTCTTGGCCATTTTTGAGGCTCTTAATACCACAAATATATTTTTCAGAACACTGAGGTCAGGGAAGCTGATGTGGTCCTGGCTCAGGAGGCAGCACTGGGGGATGTCCCCAGTCCCCACCACTGGCAGCACCAGTGGCACCCACTGCTCCAGCACCTCAGGGAGTGAGATTATAACTGGCTGCTGCCTCCTGGCACAGGCAAAGGCCCCAGGAGGGGAGATTCCCACCTACCCTGCTCATGCTAGTGCCAGCATTCAGGAACAGGTATGGTTATTTCTCTCTATTTTCCATTCAGCCCCTGTTTATAAAGCTGAGCGCTTGCAGCTCTGACAGGGAACATGCCAGGAAATGGGGAATGAAGGGTTGCCACACACGTCCCTGGCTGGAGAGTGCAGCAGTGATAGCCAGGGCTCCACTGGACAAAGAATGACTATAAGCACCTGAGCAGTTGAGTCTGTTAAAACATAAAGGAAGAGGAAATTCCTATAACTGCTTATGAACCCACACCCCAAACCTTGGCTTCAGGGTGTATTAGAGATTTAGAGACAGCAGAAAGGAGAAAATCAGTATGACACCATCAACTTTTTCTAAATTTTATCATATCCCTGGATATTGTAAAATATTTTACCAACTCTGGAAGTGTTCACCATCTCTAGAAGTGTTCAAAAGGCATGTGGATGTGGTACTTGGGGATGTGGCTTAGTGGTGAACACAGCAGTGCTGGTTTAATGGTTGGATGTGATGGTCTTAGAAGTCTTTCCAACCTGAAGGATTCTGTGATATTTGAGCCTATTACATTTTTACTCTTTTTCCTGATGTCTGACTCAGAATTTGAGAAAATGTAATGCTGGCATTACTGGAGAAGAAATATGATGTGAAGATAATTTTAGTTTCCAAAGATCCCGCTTCAAATGATTGTGATTTTGCTTTCAGCCAGTGCAAAAATTCAGCCTGACACTTTTTGTTAAATAATGCATAACGCCTTGGCTGCAGGCAGAGGTCTGGCACACAGCCCTGCCCCCTCAGACCCTGCTCAAAGTGCTACTGAGTGGCTTCCAGTGGATTACAGGCAGGGAGTGGGCTTTGTCCTGGCTCCTGCACAGCCAAAGATGTCATTATTTTCCAGGAGAGCCACTCTGCTGACGGAGCTTTTTGTTATTCCATGCAAATAATCTCAATCGGAAGGTACCTGCTGCTCAAAGCACTGAACTGAACATTCAACTAACTGTCACTGCCATTACCTGGCAAACCTGCAAAAGAGGAAAAAAGAAAAAAATAACCAAGCTAAAGGGCAGGATTGTTTGGCATGGAAGCATTCCTGGCTGTCACCTCTCTGTCTCCACTGGCAGCGTGTCTGCCAAGACCCTGGAGCCCAGTGGTGAGAGCGACTGTCCCACCTTGTCAGGTGGTAGCAGGTGTGCCGTGGCTGTGCCCTGCCCACCGTGACACCTGCCGGGCTCCCCTGACGGGATTTAAACGCGGCATTGTCTTGCATCTTCCAACAGAATCAGCACTCAATCTGCCTCACTTAGCATTTAGCATGCAGAAAAATCGATGTAGACACAACACCTCAGGTTTTCTGTCCCCTCTTACAGCATTGACAGTGCTCCCCACGGGGAATATTCTGCTACTGCCAGCAGCCTCCTGGGGGAAGGCAGGTTTAGCAGCAGATGAAGCAGCTCCCATCATCCAGCTGCCTTGGGAAAAGCCAGAACTGGCTCTCGTTGTCAACCGTGCTGATGATGAAGTGAGAGCAGCTGTGGGCAGAACTGGGCACATGTGTGTGCCAGGGCTCAGGTGGGAAGACACCCACACCCACTGCTGTTCCTGGGAAGTTGCTGGGCACCCTCTATTTTTTTTTGTCACCAAACACTTTAAGATACAGCTACAAAACACTCTATCAATGCCCACACCTACACTGCTGGGTGTCCTGAGGCAGCCCCAGCCCTGCCCAGGTGCGGGGAGGGTGGTGGAGGCACCCTGAGTACTGGTGCCCTGGAGACCAGCCATCAGCCAGGACAGTCTGTGGCCACCTTCCTCCTGGATATCACCCACTCTTGCTCATCTCTACACATGGACAGCTCAGTCACAGCACAGCCCACTGCCCTCCACAGGAGGAGACAGGCGGTCTGCATGCAAAATAGGGAGAGCAGCCCAAGCCCCACTCCAGGTGGAGGAATGCGTTGAGATTCCTGCTCCCCACCACAGCATCCCCCCTGCCACAGCCACCCACGGAGTTACCTCTTCCCTTGCCACTGCACAGGGCTGCCAGGGCTGCCAGCAGTCATGAAACCCTGTCCTCAGTGTCCTACTGTGCAAGCCAGCCCATCTACACAGTACTGCCCTCTCTATCAGCTCCTATCCACCATCTTCTTTCAGCTCCCTGTGGGACTGCAGGAGCTGGAAGCAGGGACACAGAGCAGTGGTGCAGAGCTGCTCTCCTGTGCACCCTGAGCAGGGCAGCAAAACCCCAAAGAGCTGGCAGAAAGGGACTGGAGGACCAGGGTGGGATGTTATGGCAATCCCCTGGGGCCACGTGGATTCACAGCATTGATCAAGCTGCCATAAGGGTCTGTCTAAGCGCTGGGATCATGGAGCTGCTGGTCATGCAGTGATGGATGGGACACAAGGCCATTCCTCAGAGCCAATAGGAAGGCAGAGTTTAAGGGAAGGTGAAGGGTGCAAAAAAGAACGGGCCTAAAGCAGTGGGTTAACCTCAATAATTGGTTGGGATCATGTATTAAAAATACATCTATTGCTGATAAGGGATCTGCTCACAGGAATACTAGTTGTGATTTACATGCCAAAAGCCATGATAAGATGAGATGAGATGAGATGAGATGAGATGAGATGAGATGAGATGAGATGAGATGAGATGCAGTGTCTTTGTCCCACACTCATCCAGCAGCCCCTGAACACAGGAAAAGGGACTGTCTGCTCTGCAGGAACAGAGACAGGATTGGGGAGTGCTCTATTTTTCTAAGGAAAGCTGCTGAACTACTTAAACCTTGACAGGGTAATCTCAGGGTCTGGAGCGGAAGTCTGATGAGCATAGGCTGAGGGAGCTGTGGGGAGCTCTGCCTG